TCAAGATTGCATCCAATTTCGTCTGTATTGCACATGAACTTTCGGCCTGATTCTTGCTCATTGTGCCTCTTTTCCAGGCTACCTATTTGGCTGTTGACATCATCATATCGGTTTTTCAACTGTTGCAAATCTTTTTTGATGTTCCCTTCTCGTTCTTTATTGGTGGCTTCTACCTTATCTGTCATCTCCTTGAGTCTCTCGTCTGTTGCCTTAGCCAGGTTAAAATAACTATCCAGATACTCGTGTTTGTTGTATCTTAATTCTTTTCTTATCACTTCTCTGTCCTCTTCGCTGTGCTTCAGCTTTTTGTCGATCTGATTCAGTTTTGCCATCAAGTCACCTAGCTCAAGAGTAGCCTCTTCATGTTCAGCCGTTGGTCTTTCTTCGGCCGTTGCTTCTGCTTTAGTTTGTTCCTCTCTCGGATTGGCTTCTGTCGTCTTCTTGCTCACTGTCCCAAATGTTCGTGCTCTTTCAGCTTTTGGTTCTTCAGTCACGTTCTCTTTCGTTTTTATTCCGACCATCATCGCCAACCTTTCTGTAAAAGATGTCTTTTTTACTTGAGAGTCTTCTTTCACCGTTTCTTCGGTGTTGCCTATTGCATCTTCCACATCGTCTATTGGTGAGAACTCTATGGGTTTCGGGTTTGGTTCTTCTGCATTGGGTATTGGAGTTGACTCCGTTGTCTTTTTCTCCAGTTCATCTACGCTCTGGTCTGGTGTCTCTAGGTCGATTTCGATTGTAGGCTCCACCTGTTTTTCCCTCGCATCTTCTCGCGTCTTGCTCTCGGTGCCACTCCTCGTGCTGACCATGCTAACTGAAAAGTTATTTCTTGTTTTGCCTGGGCCCCTTGATGTTGTTCCACGCAGCGACGAGTTATATTTCGTGTTTGATCCACTTGACCTTTTTTCAAGCACCGGTACCCTACTCCGTTTCATTATTCCTATTTACAATTTCCCTTATTTACAATATTATTATATACACAATTCTATTCTAAGAATAAAAAAAAATTTTGTGGAAACAAATTCTTAAAAGAAAATATACAACGTGATAAAAACCTTGTTCCAGTTATCTAAAATCTTCGAGTAACTTTCTTTATTCGTGGTCCCAACCGTACCGGGTTCCAATTAGTCTTGTTCTGTCTTAATTCTGTCTTAAAACAACTTGTTGTAATTTTACTTCAATTTTTATACTGTCCTAAGACTTCCAGTTACCGTCCCTACTCTTCTTCGTACCGTCCCAGGCTTCCTTTTACTGTCCCAAGACTGTTCGGTAATGTCCCAGTACTCCGTCAGTGTCCCAAGACCCCTGACCCAAGGCTAGTGTCCCAAGACTACTGTCCCAAGGCTAGTGTCCCAAGACTACTGTCCCAAGGCCAGTGTCCCAAGGCTAGTGTCCCAAGACTACTGTCACAAGACCACTGTCCCAAGACTGTATCAAGACCACTGTCCCAAGACCACTGTCCCAAGACCCTGTCCCAAGACCACTGTCCCAAGACCACTGTCCCAAGACCCTGTCCCAAGACCACTGTCCCAAGACCACTGTCCCAAGACCACTGTCCCAAGACTGTATCAAGACTGTTCTGGTCCAACACTGTCCCTGGACTTCTTTGGCACTGTCCCAAGGCTGTTTGACAAGTGTCTGAGCGGTGGGACTTCTCTCTTTTTCGTTATGGGGACTTCTTGATTCACTGTGCCTTGTACCACCACTCAAGCTCTAGTAAAATTTCCCCAAAAACCCTTTCTTAAAAGCCAAATGCTGACCCCCCTTTTTTTCTTATTTCTTTTTAGTTACCTCTATTTCAATGTTCCAAGCAACTTGAGACCAAAACCTGTGCGCAGGTATCTTGTGATCACCTGTTCGTATAAAAACTAAACACAAATCCTCCCCAAAATGCAACAAAAAATCCAAGCCAGAAAAAGTAATAAAAACTGAAAAATGAGCCCACCTAAATTTCAAAGGTGACCAATGTCTACCTTTCGTCGAAAAAAAAAATGTCTGGTACCTAATTGCCACGCGTTTCCTTCCCCCCTGCTAGCGATCTTATGGGGTATCACAAAAACTGTCTATGTCCGTTTCCCCCTACCGATCCGACCAGGGTACCTACCTTAACCTAATTCCAATTTTGGATATCCGTTTCCTATGACCAACGCGTGTAAATGACTAATGTAACTAAATCAACGATGTCGACCAATTAGTTCCTCTAATTTCTCCCCTTTTTACAATTTACAACCGCCAACCTCTAACTTAACCAGCCCCCCTTCTAACCTCCCCCCTTTTTAGCCCCCCTTCTTAAGCCTAAAATCACCTTAAGCGCCGGGTGCTAAACCTCTCAAGAGAAAACCGTAGACTTGTCTCCAGGCCTGCTCAAGTAAAAACGTTTCTCAAAACCGGGGGATATCGCTTATCCAATTTTACACTTATTTCCTATAATGTAATGTGAATTTCAACGATACCCGTTCTGCTCAACTTGAGAACTCGAGAACTGCCAAATCCTTCTTGGCTACTTTCCCACTCGACTGGTCACCTCTTCCAGTCCAGTCTCCTATTGGTTCAGCTCAAGTGCTCCTGAACCGCTTTCCCACTCGGCTGGTCACCTCTTCCAGTCAAGTCTCCAATTGGTTCAGCTCAAGTGCTCCTGAACCGCTTTCCCACTCGGCTGGTCACCTCTTCCAGTCAAGTCTCCAATTGGTTCAGCTCAAGTGCTCCTGAACCACTTTCCCACTCGGCTGGTCACCTCTTCCAGTCAAGTCTCCTATTGGTTCAGCTAAGTTCCAAGCTATCTGAAAACCCTTGACAACGCCCCACACTCGGGCTCTTTATTAAGGTTACTGGATTAAATTACTAGGTTGATAGAAACGATGGAACTTGTAAAACAGTATGGGTATACTATTTAATTAATATAAAGGTTTGATCCAACTAATCTGGTGTCAAAGTCACTGTCTTTTTTCGTTTTATGGTTTTTGTTCCTTTTTCTATTCTTTTTTGGTTTTTGTTTCGCTTTTTGTCTTTTTGCTCGTGTTTTTGTCCCCCTAGTTGCCCCCCTTTACTCGGTTAGCTAAGCCTCGTTTGGAGAGCGTACCAGGAAGTTTTCTTGAGTTTTCTTAAAAAGCTATCACGGTACAACCGGAAGGTTTGCACGTTCCTGTCGAACCGTACCGCCGGTACTCTAGAATGGGCATTCAGCCCGAAGCTGTCTCAAGTGGGTTTGACTCCGTAGTCTTGATGTCGTAAACACCCAGGAGCGCCATAAAAACACTATGTAACATTCGTCTACTGCAGTCACACATGAGGCTTAAGAAAAATAGGCCCTATAACCATTGGCTCAAGAGTCAGGTACACTATCTCTTGTGTTTTTGTACCTCAAATCAGTCGGAGCCAATTCGGTTCGCTTGTGACATGAGACTACGACCCGTTACAGCTTAAAGGCTACTACTAAAATATCCCCCCACTCTAGAATTAGAAACGTCCCCATACTTAGGTCTCTAGATACCCAAAATACATGAACGCCATTAAAAACCGGGTCGGAACAATCCGTTAAGTTACTTTTTATTAGACAGTGGAACTTTGATCCATTTCATATGGATCAACCTAAAACTCGCCTTACCTCAACATAACAATTGTAAAACACACTCTAGAAATTTAAATTAGTACTCACATTGTAGCACGCTCAAGAATCAGGAAGTAAATAAGTCGGTATGCAAATCAAGAATAAATGAAGTAACTAAATTGAGTTTAATGTTAATCAGTTTTAATAACAAGAACAAGTTGTTACTCTAGACTGTCAGTTCTCGTGAACCATTGGGACACTCTAGCTGTCCACCTTTCCACCGAAGGTTCACTCTAGTCCAGTTTAGAATAATACTCCAATCACAACAATCCAGTTCGTGGGGATGCGCTCGTCTCTCTTCTAGATGGGACAGCTCTACTCTGGATTATTATCGCTACTGAAATTGCGATTAGCAATTTCCCACTGATTTTTCTAGCAACTTTCCCGCGATTGTCACTCGATCGTTCTGACTTCTCTTTTCTGATTTTCAGTTATCGCGAGAAAATCGTGCATGACAGGTTCCATTCGAAATTTTGAAAAATTAAATTTCACTCCAAAATTAAGTGTTTTTTGCTTCTCTCAAGGTCAAACTTCCAAATATGACCGACTGGCACACAACTGAACCGGCGCAAAAAACACTCAACAACAACAATTAGTCTCGAGAACAACATTAAAATTAGACAGAGAAGAGTCAGACGAGAAATACGAGCGAAAAGAATATTTTTGTGACCCACAACCATTCCGAGTTGTAGCGATTGTGCCGCTACAATCATTACAACGCGAATCCCAAGAACAAGGAAGGGTGTTGGGACGGCGTTTCCAGCCTTCCTTTTATTTCGCCGGTTTCTAGAATCCGGAGGGGTATCGGGAGGAGAACTAAAACTGTATTTTATAAACTTTTAGCTTACTGGAGATGTCCCGAATTGAATTCAATTAACATCTAAGTTTATTTTCAGATCATGAGAAGCTAGGAGTTAAGGGAAAGGGTTGATCCATCTTCGATAGAGATGATGATTTTAATCTACTGAACAAAAACAATAGTTATATAATACATAAGTAGTAGCCCTGTTTTTAGGAGTGACCTCGTGGTCTGGGGATACTGAGACCCAGCCATGAGCTCACTATTTTGCATATAATTAATTTAATTAGAGCGTTCTGATCGAAGCCGGAAACAGTGACGTTTTTTGTCGACCCGATGTTAGAAAGCCCACCAAAAGAACTGGCTTTGGCAGACACGCTGAAAAGCATGTAGAGCTGTGTTTTGACGCTATTCAGTCGTTTTAGAACCTAGCTTTATTTTCTGTCGATATGTACTTCCGGGCGAATGTTACATTCGTCAGATTTGAAAATAATCGAACAAACTGTGCAGTTTTATTTTGAACGTTTGTTATGAATTTTGAAAATAGATTTTATTTGTCAGTTGCAGAAATTGTTCAAAATGTATGTATTTTAAGGTAAAATGGATGGAATTGAACTAGCCAATTACCTGGAAAGTTTTACAGAAAAGTCAAATGTCTTCCTTGATGATGCCAGACAACTTTATCAAACGTCTGCTTGTTAGTTTGAAAATTTGTAATAGCTAATGAATGCAGCGGTTCATCACAAACTTGCTGTGTAGTAACAAAATTTGAAATCGCGTGAAAAAATGATAAGCTAAGTTTCAAAAATGTTTTGTAACTTTCAGGATTTCGAGCGGAATAAAAAACATACCTATCGATTCGGATTTCTTTACGAAAAGTTTTAAGAATATAAATGCTAGTCATAATATTTCCAAAAATTTGAAACAATGTCTAATATTGTCTATTGGCTACGTTGTAAGAGTTGTGACGCTTCTGATAGTTTTCCGAGTTCATAGATTTTGGTTAGCGTGTTATCAAATTCAATTCCGAATTACTCGTTCTGATGTTCGTTTTATTGTAACTTAGTAAATTCATTTAGGTAACGATTCAATTGGGAGGTTTGGCTCAGCAATGTATTCTATTATGCTGTGTTATGTGAAATTGTTCGAACAGTAAGTATCAGGTTTAAGAAATTGACAATTTGAAAAAACAATTGAAAAGCAAGTTTCATTTTGGTCCTAGCGTTGGAGCAGAAAGCGCTGAAAAATTCAAAAACATCCTGGCGAAGCATTTCAGGTAATATTTTCACTTGAGAGAGCAAGTGACTTTGTAATCGGGAACAAGACTTCTTTTCCCGTAAACATCTTTTCTTACATATTTAGCTGCACGTATTTCTTCGATTGCTTGTGTATAACCAACTGCATGTATTTCTTACATAGTAGTAGCTGACGTGCTCAAATTCAAATAAAACTACCTCATGAATCATTTTAGGTAGTAAATAATTTTTAAAATAAATTTATTGAAAACATGGTTTTTTCGAGTTTGTGTTTTTCGTCTTAATATCTTCCTGCTCGTTTTGCCTTTTTTCCAATTGCAATGTATTTTATGTAGTAGGTTTTTCAAGCAGTTTTTTTCCATTGCTTGTTTCTTTTTCGTTCCAACTGTTTTTTTCTAGAATTGAAAGTTGTTCTGTATCTAGTCAGTTTGCGAACTCGGGTTTTAAATAATCGCTTCAATTTCTTTATTAAACGGGAAATTTGATGTTATAATTGGCTTGGTCAACTTACATTGCGTAGATTGAAGGGGAATTTTTTTCAATGCTTCTGCATGTTCACGTGGGATGGGCTGAAATATTTAGAGTTTTAAATTTAAATTTTATTTTTGAATTTAATATTTGAGTTTTATATTTGAATTTTAGATAGCTCTAATTTTTTAATGACTATAGTTTCGTTTTCGGCTTAACGATGGTCGACCCAATTATTGTCCTTTTAGTTCGCAATGCTTGATATGGCTGTTTATGAATTTCATCCGAGACAAAGCTGAGAAGTTTTTTAAGATGGTATTTCAAGTAATTTTTTCAGCTTAATTTTTTATTGAAGATTAAACAATATAAAGCTAAACTAATGAACTTGAACCTGGGTGCGAACCCATGAGAACTATCTCTAAATCTTTTACTACTAGTAATATAATGTTTTGATTGTATCGCAAGTGTTGTATTGATTCAAACAGTTTTTAGTAATTGCAAAATTATTTCTATAGTTTGTAAATTTAACAACTCTGATTTTAGTTTTTTTTCAAATAAACTGGTTCGGCTGATGTTATTTCAGCTTTTCCAATTTTGAAAAAAGTGTTACAAACAGATAGACCGGCTTCTTTCCTGCGTGCTTAGATAGTCCGCTTGTCTCTTCTTTAGATCACAGGGTGTTCTACGATCTTTGAGAATATGCATGGGAGGGAGTTTTTGACCAATTTTTTTTGGAATATTTTTCTCCAAAATAAAGAAGAAACTATTCAATTAGAAGAGCTTGTTCTGAGGATATCAATGAGTTGCTACGCCCTCATTTTGGCCATAGAAAATGAACTATATTGGAAATTAATTTTTTTTCGATAGAGCGCCTGACAATTCTGAGGTTCAGGGTTTAATTTAAAAGAACAGATTGTGAGTCTTCGCTGCCCAACTGGTTTCGACCTAATTGTTCTAATGAAAAAAGTAATCACCTTACAAAAGCACTTTTAAATTGTGCTCGTTTTTTGAAAATTTTTTCGTCGCCAAGATTTCTCGCCTTAGTTTTTGCTCGGTCCTTGGTTCTCAATATTTGTTCAGGTTCCTTATGAACATCAACCAAAACCTTGGTATGAAATTTTTTGTAGATACTGTTTTTTCGACCTTATTGTGTTTATGTTGATTGTAAACCAATTCCAATTTCTTATGTCCATTTTTGTTCTCTTTAACCGCTCTAACCACGGCCTTTCAAAATTTTATTGCAATACTGTTGTTCTCTGCATGGACCGAAAATAAATTATTGCAATTCACTGACACCGGAAATAAACTATTGCAATTATTGCAGCTATTGCAAAATGAAAAAACAACTTTATTTTTCGTATACCAATGCAGATAAAACATCGATATCCCAAAAATCTCGATTGAAATTTAGAAACAGTTGCATTTCCAAGTTAGTTGGCAGCAGGCTCTGCCGTAACTTGTTGTATGTAAAGCCAGCTCTGCAAGTTCGGACGCTCCGCATGTAAAGCCAGCTCCGCAAGTTCTGCAACATCGGACGTCGGCTTCAAAAAGGTCGTTTTCATATAAAATTCATTTGCAGTGCTGAGCCGTCGTTTCTTAAGTAACATTGACGCAAAGTCGGATGTTTCAGTTACCTCTGCCGAAGTCGTCGAACTTTTCTCCAGCTTGAGAGATAAAACAGAATCGGTTTCATCGAGAGAAATACTCTGAGTTTCGGAGTTCTGAATTTTAACAATAGCTGATTCGAAGGTACTACTATGATAGAGTGGTCCCTCGAAAAAGCAACTATGATAGACAGGTCCCACATGCATTTCGCATGTTATAATTTTGAAAATTAATTTGTGTATAAATTATTCTTTTCAAAAACCTTGCTAAATATGTTCCGCCAGAAACTTTTCAGATTGAAAATTGTAATCACTATTGTTTATAAATTGAAATTTGCTCGCTTTACTTTATTTTACGGTTTAACAACTATATAATTGGGTTGACTTATTTGTCATCAAAACCCACTATTGGCGGTTTTTTTTTAAATTTTCAACCTTAAAATGGTGAGGGGGAGGTTCTAAGAGGTAACTAAACATGAAATTTGTTTGAAAATATACTGCGTCATCTTTCTGAAAGGCGTAATTATAATTATTAAACGATTTGAGAGCTCTAGGTGTCTTATTCTCAAGGGACTTGGTTATTTTTAAGGGACCATTCTATCATAGTAGTACCGATTCGAATACCGGGCTGTGAACAATATCTGCTGTTGCACTCAAGTAAACCGACGTCAAAGGAGACTTCTGAATAACACCGTCAAAAACCATTCTGACATCGGCCATACCAAGGTTTTCACGTTGCAAGAGCTTTGTCACGGACTCAAACTCTTCAAGCTTCGGGAGCAGGTCAGCAATCTCTTTGTCCTCTGTAGTTGTCAGAATAATGCTGTGCAAGTTAGAATCCGACAAAACTTTCGAAATTTTGTCTCTTATTTTACAGTAGCGTTTTATCATCAGATATGTACTTAGTGTTTCGCAAAATCGAGTAGTGTTTCGCAAAATCGAGTAGTGTTTCGCAAAATGGGCTTTTTTCGAACTGCAATGTTAACGGAAGCTGGTCATCATCTCTTGCATCTTTAACGGCAAAATACTGCTCTTTATGTGCGGATAACAAGTGGTTTTCTAAGTTTGACCACCCAGAATTAAGTTTTTGCTTCCGTTCCGCTCCACAAATCCATCGGTATCCCTCGGTTGTTCCAGTAACAAGTGTAAAAAAACTAGAGAACAAATGCTTTTTTGAAGCCATCGCGAGAATGAACTGCCTGCTTTGATGATCAAACAACACGACTGCACGAAAATGCGGTAAAAGTGCAAACAACCAAGACTTCCATCGGCACTTGACAAAATTCACTCAAGTGGCTGAGCTGGAAAGCAAACAAACTCTCGAAACTCGTAGGTCTGATGTTGATTTCTGGAGCACTGTAATTAATTTTGCAGTAGTGCAATATATTGCAATTCTATTCCACCAAAAAGTTAGTAAAAATAAATTATTGCAGTTACATTATTGCAATAAATTGCAGGGGTAATCAATTTCTGAAAGGCCCTGGCTCTAACTGTTGATTCGACTTGCTGAACTCTGGCTAGTGTTAATCGGTTTTGTCTTGAAGTGTGTCGATTGAGGGCGAAACCGTGTGTGTGTGTGTGCTACACAGTATGAAAAAGTTTGCAAATCTTGAAACATTTTGATATTTTGGTTGCTATACTTAAAATGCCTCTTTTTTTTTTTAGCTCAGTTAACCTCTACTCGAGTTTTGAGGACTTAGCTGCTTATTTTTGTCGAACTTTCTTTACTTCTCTGTGCGCTAGCTTAACATGCCGTGTTAGATTATTGCTTCGTCCGCTCCGCTTTGTCTTTGTGTGAAATAAGCCTGAGACACTTTCGCGCAGTTATTTCAGGCCAGCTTGTTTCAATGACAATAGTGGCTTTCAATGATCGATTTTTTATTGTCTTAGAAAGTTTTTCAATTAACTATATTTTTAAATGCGTCTGACGCGTAGCTCGCCGTATACGAGTCGACCTAATATTGAGCATCATCGACGTACTGTTTTTCAAATGTTTATGCAAAGACCTGTTTCGCTATGCTTAAACTATATTCTAAAGTTAACAATTATTGAATATGTTATGCGTATGTAATCCGGCCGTATAAAAGTAAGTATGTAAGAGAGGCAAGCTTGTCGGAATAAAAGTTCAATTGATTTCTAATTTCTACACTTGCGAGAACAAGTGTATTGTAATCTGGAACTAGAAGTTTTTTCCTCGAAAACATTTTTTCTTACAAATCTATAAGAAATTGCGAAGTTGCTTTATTTGTGAACTTAAGCAACTTCAATACTCCTTCCCTTTTGGCCTAGACTAAACGCGGTTACCTTTTTTTCCAATGTCGCGGCCAGACCCTGTTTTTTTTTCATGGAAGAAGTGAATTGCATGACTTTCGTTTGTCTTTTTAGGTTTCAGCGGCTTAGTTGCCACATCAGATAATTTTTTGTACTCTCAGTATTTTTCATCGCAGTTGATGCAAGTGCTTTTGAACTAATCCTGTAATTTTTAAAATCAATAACCCCAAGTTTGTATGTTTTCCTGGGTTTTTCTTTTTTGCTTGGAAGCTTCCCCGTATATTAAGGAAGGGAATAGATCTCCGGTCTTCATCCTATGTATGAACATAGGTAGTAGATTTTCCATGTATTAAGGTGGGTTATAGTTTTCAGAGTTTCATATGGTAAGAGTATTTGGCGCCCAATTTTGCCGATACAGCTAGGTTTAAAAATATTCTTCTTGCTTTCATTTTTTTTTATTTCTCTGGACAAAACAGGCTTAGATTCATTATACTTACAAAGCGATTCTAGAGAAGTTTCTACTGATTCCTGACAGCAGATGGCGACTTCCAATGCTTTTAATATTTCCCGCTTTGAACCCGTATAAATGTTCTTTTAGTGCGTTCAGACTGCTCCATTCGACGGCGAGCTATTTCTTCTTATTAAGTTGTGCGTTTTGTAAATGAGCTTGATGCTTT